ATGCGCATTGCTTCTACTACTCTTATAATATATGGTTTGTCATAAAATAGGCTAATTATGAAAATTTTAAATATATATACAAGGTATCCGATAATAATTTTTTCTTGAACAGATAGAATAGATTGTAATAAATAAAAAAATCTCTTGTCATTTTGGGAATTTTACAGGTCCGCATCAACAGACACCACAATGTTTTGTGCACTCACAGTCGCTAATAAACACATGGTGACACATTGGAAGAAATTTGATTTTTAATCAAAATAAATAATAAATTATTAGATTTTTATATTTATATTAAATGTATAATATATACTTTAATATTTTTAATTTTTAAACAAAATACATAATTAATACTTATATAAAAGAATTTTTCTTTAAATCAAAATTATTAATGCTTATTGCTAGAATACTACTACTATTGAGTCGCACGTCTAACAACCATGAGGGCGCAGAAATGCTAAGATGTCTTCATGCGGATGCTCATTCACGGATTTTTATAATTTAATAATTCATTAATTATTGCAAAACTCGTAAAATAGTAATAATAAACTTTTCGATTCAGCACAACTCGCTTTAATGCTCGTAAGAGATGATATGAAAAAGGTTATCAGTGAATACCGTGAATATTGTGAATCTATAGCTATTAGAGATTTCTAGTAGTTGCAATAAATATGAAAACACAAATAAAAATTGATATACTTACAAGTAGAAGAAAGTTCTTTGCATTCTTCTATGTTTTCAGTATTAACATTTTCCATAACATTTACATTATGCAAATTTGTTATTGTATTCAAATACTAAAACAAAAAAACCATTAAATATTGTACATTATTCTTCAATAATACTCGTCAGAATGTACTATGCATTTTGATACTTACCACATGGTATAGAAATATCAAAATTATCGAAAAAATCGCTTTTTTCAGTGTAGAAAAAAGTATCACTTTTACTTTCTTGATTCAAATGTATCACACTTGCTTTGTTTACATTTCCTAAACAATTAAAATACATCATATTACAATATAGAATTCTGCAATTAAGAAATTTTTATAAATATGTTCTTACTAGTAGAGGTAAAAACTGTCATTTCCTTCTGGCAATCAGTTTCTGAGAATATAACATTAGTTTCAGCGTTAGTTTCAGTTTTAAAACTTCTTTCATCTGACAATAAAAATATAGATTTAAAATTTTTCTTATAATCATGATTATAAGTAGAGACTGCAGTTGCATTGATAATTTCACTTATATTGTCGCAGGTTATGATTGCATTAGTATTATTTAGAAATAAAACAAGATTATTTTACGTTTGCACTAGAATAATTAAAACTTATAAAAACTTATAAAAATACTTATAATTAATTTACATATTTACATTTACCATAAGATATAGCTACATCAATATGATTCTTAAAATTACATTGTTCCTTAGAATTATCAATCTTTTCGTTCATACTTGAATCATCACAGGTATCGGTTTCGTTAATATTTCCTAAATAAATAAATTAAATTTCATGAGAATATTTATTGAATTTTGCAATTGAGAAGTTTTCATAAATAATAATGCTTACTAGTAGAGGTAAAAACTGTCATTTTCTTCTGGCAATCAGTTTCTGGGGACATAACACTAGTTTCAGTGTTTTTAGAACTTTTTTCATCTAACATTGAAAATGCGGACTCAATATTTTTTCTATAATCATGACTTTTAGTAGAGATAGAAGTCTCATTATTAATTTCACTCATATTATCACAGCTTACTATTGCGCTAATATTATCTAGAAATATAATAAGAGATTACTATTTATGTTAATGTTACAATAATTGTATCATAAAAATATTTGTAATTAATGTGCATTTACCATAAGATATAGTTACGTCAATTTGATCCTCAGAATTACATTTCTTAGAGTTATCAATCTTTTTATTTCTCCAAATATAATAGAAGGGGCATCCAGAGCCATCGCAGGATGTTAGTGCAACATTTTTAATTTAATTTCTTAAAGAATTATTTTAATAAATTAATCTACAAGAGACAGTTAAATTGTACACCGATCTCACATCGAGATACGTATGTGTACGAAATTATAAGTATATTGTTCTCATATCGAGAAACATTTACTTACATATAGGAATTATTGGAGAGAAAGGAAGAGAGAAAAAATATCAGGTCGCGAGTGGCGAAGCCAGGAAGCCTTTTTATTTCTATTTGTATCATCACAGTTACCTGTTTTATTAATACTTCCTGAAAAAATATACTACATTTTATTACAACATTTATTAAATTTCGCAATTCAGAAGTTGTAAATAAGTATGTGTGTATTCGTACTAGTAGAGGTAGTAGTAAAAATAATCATTTTCTTTTGACAATCGGTCTCCGAGAATTCCATATTAGTTCCAATGTTCTCATCACTTCTTTTATCTAATAATGTAGACTTATCAATATTTTTCCCGTAATCATGACTTTTAGTAAAAATAGCAGTCTCGTTGTTAATTTCACTCATATTATCACAGCTTACCATTGCACTAGTATTACCTAGAAATATTACAAGTTATTATATACTATTTATGTTTATAATAATTGAAACTTATATGAAAATATTTATATTATATGTACATTTACCATAAGATACAGCTACATCAATATGATTCTTAAAATTACATTGTCTCTTAGAATTATCAGTCTTTTCAAAGTTAAAGCCTTCAGTTTTTTATACCAGTATTATATTTCTTTGCAGAATTTATTTTTACATAAGGTTTATTTGTATTAATATTTGTAAGTATTGTTTCTAACAAATTTTTATCATCTAAAAATAAACAAATTTAAAATAAAAATAAGTTATAATTGCGATCATTGTTTTATATGATATCTGTTTTTAGATGTTTGACCTTGAAATATGTATACGTTACAAAGAGTAATTTTAAAATATAATTTGCATTAGAGAGAATTATTATATTTATTGTGTACATTATATTTACGAATATAACAAAAACATTTATATATGGTATAATATAAAAGAAAAACATTTTAATATATAAAATTTGTTTTTTTACCATTTTTTGCCATGATACTTGCAGAATATCTAAATCCATCGCTATACTTTACTTTTATACCGCGAGTTTTGGTTTTTATATACATAGTTTTGAGGAACACACATAATGCACCCCGTCGGAAAATTTTACAAGAACGTACATATTGTATATTAAAAACCTTAATTATCAGAACATTTCAGTAATAATGAGATGTCTACCGAAGACTACACACGTGCAGGCACATGCAGGCATATACAGATACGTACAACATGCGCAAGTACGTATAGGCATGCGCAGGCACGTACTTTTACGTACAAGCACATCCATAAGCTTACATGTTGCACTTATATATGAAATATTGAGACCGCTGAATGCCGTTTTTGTATTAATTGACAGAATTATTACTATATTATTAATATATATTGCAGAAAATCGAGATTTTCAATAGATGTAGTAAGCTTAAGTCGTAAAGAATGGATCAATCATTATTATTTTTTACATATTTGTTTAATTGGTCAATTTCTTGTGACTTAAAGCTTACTCATTGTCGATACAGTCTAAAGCCCATATCAGACAACGCATTGAAGATTGAGATTAAAGGTTAAAGATTGAGAATTTGACCAATCAGAAAAAAGTAATATCTGTTTGCTCCTTTCTAATTCATCAAATTCCTAATCTTCAATCTTTAATCTCAATCTTCAATGCGTCGTCTAATACAGGTTGTAGACTGTATCGACAATGAGTAAGCTTTAAGACACAAGAAATTGACCAATTAAACAAATCTGTAAAAAATAATGATGATTGGTCTATTTTTAACCACTTAAGCTTACTATATCTATTATAGATCTAGATTTTCTGCAATATATATTATTAACATAGTAAAAATTTTGTTGATTAATACAAAAACGGCATTCAGCGGTCTCAATATTTCATACATAAGTGCAATATGTATGTTTATGGATATGCCTGTTCGTAAAAGTACGTGCCTGTATATGCCTGCGCATGCCTATATACTTGCACATGTACGTATCTGTATGTGCCTGCATGTACCTGCACGTGTGCAATCTTCGGTAGAGATCTCGTTATTACTTAAATGTTCTGATAATAAAGGATTTTAATATATAATATGTATGTTCTTGTAAAATTTTCCGACAGTGTGCATTATGTGTGTTCCTTAAATTATGTGTATAAAACCAAAACTCGCGGTAGAAAAGTATAGCGATAGATTTAGATATTCCGCAAGTATCATGGCAAAATATGTTAAAAAAACAAATTTTATATACTAAAATATTTTTCTTTTATATTATGCCATATATATAAATGGTTTTGTTATATTCATATATATATATATATATATAATGCGCATAATAAATATAATGATTCTCTTTAATTCAAATTATATTTTAAAATAACTTCTTATAACATATACATATTTCAAGGTTAAACATCTAAAAACATGCAGATATCATATAAAACA